CCCCCCCCCCCCCCCCACCGTAAGCCCAGAATCCTTTGAAATGTGGATCGCATCTTGGCCACAAAAAGAAAAGAGCGCACGTATCACGTAAATCGGATCATTTATGCAGAACTTTTTTAGTGGGCGATGTGCTCCATACAACAAAAAAAAAGTGCAGTTAGGACCTAACGCGTCCGTGGTGAATAGACAGAAAGATCAAATGAAGATGAGACAAAAAAAAAAAGAAAAAAAGAAGCCATTTTCTGGGGAAATGTTTAAATCCACGTTGGTGGCCCGTTTGCAGATAAGGGCACAGTGTCACGTCTCGCTCATGTTGTCTTTTACCTCAGCGACTGTCTTAAAGTGCTATTTTTTCAGTTTGACAAAGGTGTAGTACAAATTCTGTTCGAGCTGACGTCCTTAGGCATGCTTCAAAAGCTTTAGGCTTAAAAAAAAAAAGACCTGTGCTGTTATTGTCTACCAAATACTGTTCAAACATTCCAATGAGGCTGGACTTAATCAGGTACACTTCCTTAATTCTGTCCCTGAGTAACTCCAGGCTGTTTATGGCCTCGAAAAGCGAATGGCGAAGATGCATTTCACAGGATTCTCTCTTCTGAGTGGGAATAGTTTGGAGCCGCTCCTCAGTGTTAAACCAGTGTGTTTTCCCCTCCCTGTTCTATTTGTCGATTTTGTTCACGAGTGGAGCAAAAAGGGGCGTCTGTAGGGACGGATTTCAGTCAAGTGCTTAATGTGACAGCTGTTATCGGAGATTAGTTACAAGAATGTCTGTGCGTGTGTGTGTTTTGCGTGTGTGTGTGCGTATTGGGAGGGGAATTTCATGGGCGCTCTTCTGTGGTTGAGCTTTGTGGGTTCCATAATGCTGGACCTCAAAGGTTTATATTGTTGTTTAAGGGGTTAAGTGGATTCAGGGTTAGCTTAGGGTCCTTACAAATACAGGTGTACAAGGATCTGTGGGATTGCACGTGTGTTTGTGTGTGTGTGTGCTTTTGAGGATGAGGCAGCGTTATTTGATTAATTCAAAGTTCCATCATCTCATGGAAATGAGTCGAGCCACGTAGATCATATCTTTCACTTGGGTGGGAATTTATTTGTCCGAGTAGCCGAATGTAAAACAAAAACAGTGTTCACGCATCTTCAAACAGATTCCAAAAAAGGTCCCATCAGATCCAACTAGCCTCGTCGTTATTTCTGTGGTGCCAAATGCTTGTCAAAGATTTTACTGCGGACCACAGTTTTCATGAGAGTTCCCTCAGGTGTGCATGATCGCTCAAAAAAATTACAACGGTGGATCTCAAGCAAAGATATGCTTTGCTTCTTTTTTTGTGGGGGGTTTCAAATGTAGATTTAGAGTTTTAAAAAGTGTAGAAAAAAGCTCAATGCCCCACGTGCAACCATTTCCATTTCATAAGCACAAATTAAATGGGACCAAAAATGAAGAAGCAGCCAGCGCGGCACAAAAAGAACACACCTTTTTACTTTAAGGGCTCCTGTTCAGTGGTTTTTCACTGCATCCACTCCTGGCAGAGAAGTGATAACGCGCTGTTCTACGGCATAGTACTGCTCCCTCATCCACTACTCAAGACTAAAATGACATTTCTAATCAGACGTTGGCCAGAATCGCTCCAAACAAAACATCAAACTGTGCTTAGATCTTATTTCTCCAAAGGTATTCATGAATATGTGTGCTGACAATCAGTGAGTCAGTTTACAGCGTGACATTGTGACTTGAAATTGTCCTCTTGATTGTGTGTCTGTGTGTGTGTGTGTCATATGAGCACAATGAAAAAGAACAAATCAACACAAAATTGTTAAATGAATAAGATTTATTTGATTAATGACATTTGGGGAACATTCATCTAAAGAATTTTAAAAAGTGTTTATTTTTCATAGATGTAGTTTCATAGAATGTATTGTTAGATTTTTTTACTGTATAATTGTGTATTTAAATATTTTTAGAATATTCATTTTATTCCCAGATTTTGTTAGCATTATTCTTTTAAACTTTTATTAAGTTGTGTTCATTTTCAATTTGGGTCTTAAACAAAAACCAAAAGGAAGATTTAAAAGGAAAATGCAATGCAAGGAATGCAAAATTATATTGACAAAAATTTAAAACATTGTCATTTTCCATTTTCCTTACTGTTTTTACTACTTTTAAAATGCATGAATCACAAATTTGAATAGCCGCCCTCTTATTATGGGTCCCAGTGGGATAATTAAAAGGATTACTAGTTTATCTTAGCACAAATACAAGACAGTTAATCCTCCAATAGATTAAAAAAAAAAGCAAATGTTAAATAAAAAAGTTCACTTCTCAGTTTTGATAAATCTAGATTATGAAATTGGCTTTTGTGTGTAACTGAACAGATTTGTCCTGTCTTGCACATGGCCCCTGATGACCGTTTAGTGTCCAGTGCGAAACCCAGCACCTGCCTAAAGGCAGCGGGGATAGGCTCCACCACCACTCTGAATTGGATTAAATTGGTTTAGGAAATAGGTGGATCTTCATGCTCTGAAGACAGGATACGTGTGTGTGTGTGTGTGTGTGTGTGTGTGTGTGTGTGTTTGAGCTGACAAAACTGTCTGTCACATATTTTTCTACTCTTTTCTGTTGCAACATTTCCATCCCCGCGATGAAGACGGCTTAGTTGGGGACCGCAGAAACACGTCCGAAAGAGAAATCCAACACGCAGTTTGGAGTTGAATCATTAGTTTTTCGGTTATAGACTCGGGTGCTCTTTCTCCACTCTCCACACAGATGTTGTGTGGTGGTCTCCTTTGATGGGAATAACAAACAAAAAAAAGCCTACCCTAAATCCACAAAGGTGACTTCGCCCACCGGAACCTCGGTACTTGACCGATCGTGACGCATGTTTGTGTTGTATTGTCTAACTTCTTGGACGTCCTGTATACCAGCTGTTTTCGTCAAAAGCAAGAACTTGTGTTTTCATTGTTGTTCGATTACATAGATTTGTTGCTTGCAGTGATTGTTCTTAATCAATGTGGGGTTGAAATTGATCAGACTTGAGTATGTGTTCAGAAAGTTATTGGTGACTGCTCCTTGTGTACCTTGGATCCAGTCAACTTTTATAAATATAATATATATACAAATATATATATATATATATACACATATATCCCTGAAGGAGGTTTATAATCATGCAATTTATCTTGTCACAGAAGTACAAGATGGATAAGGCCGGGAAAAGGCAATATTGGAGCCCAAAATGTGCAGAAATGTGGTACAAATGTTTAGTTTAACCTACCCGCTTGTGTACGAGTCCATAGAAAAGGGGAGGGTGTAAGCAATAAAGTGAAGACTTTCCCTGAATCGGAGGAAACAGCAAGTTAGCGTTAAACTCCAAAGGGCGACCCTTTGAAAGATCAAAACATTGCCCTCTGTCAAATCAAAGCTCCTAAAAAGTGTACAAGCTTGATATTCAATGTGAGTATGTGTATAATTTCCAGTCTATAAACATATAAATACCTGTACAAATAATCAAAAGGATTGCTGGTTTGAGTTGTATGTATAGCAATGGTGATATGGATGTGGTCAAAATACAGTAAACACCAGCTTGAAGAGTTAACTTATTGGTGGCAGTTTAAGTGTTTGTTTTTTTCTTTGGCATGATTTTTTTTCCAAGTTAAATCTCAGAAGCCCACAGGTGAGTCCTGAAAGAATCCTAAAAAAGAAAAAAGTAGACATGCCAGAAAACCTTCACCTGCAGAAGAAGCCTTCACTGTAGTTGGTAGTGAAGGAGTTTTTTTTTTTTGGTTTTCTTTAGTTTGACTCTGATCTGTTTAGAAACTGATACAAGTTCTATAAATGTGAGTTCTCTTCAAAATTTGGTGTACTGTGTGTAGAAAATGTAGATGTTTGTACGTGAAAGTATGGAAATCGTGGAACAAAAGATCAAGGAAAAACATTTCCAAAAAAAGTTCTATATGACACAAAAATCTATTGTGTGTTGTCTTTGTGTTTTGTAAATGAAGACTGAAAATATTGGTAAACTCAGTATTTTACTTCTGGATATTAAGAATATTTTAGTGATGCTGAAAAGGTGCTGTATTTTCTGTGAAGGTTGTTCACTCTGCTGGAATTCACACTTCTGTGAAAGCTATCCAGTGCTATGAAGAAAATGGTGAAACATAATGGAAATAAAACTTTAAAGAAAACCAGTGTTATTGACTGCATTGGACAACTTGAGACCAAATACTAGTGTAATTCCCCCCCCCCCCTCTCGAACATCAAGAAAGTGAATATCTGCTTGGGGCTGGGAGCTATACCTGTGCCATAGCTTGAAAACACTTAACTATTTTCAAGTATATTTAAAAAATAAATAAATAAATAGACAGACCTATTTCTTTACCAAATGTCCAGAGAATATTCTTGTGGCTACCAATACATTCATTTGAATAATTTCTAGCTTTGTGAATTCAAGAATCTGTGGCACTTTATTTAACCCGAAGCCATTCCAAGAAAACTGTGGCTGCAGTGCATTTGAGTTTTTAAATTTAAAGAAAAGTTTTTGAATAGACACCACATGAAAGCCAAACAAGTTGCCAATTTGCTTTATTCAGAAGATCATATAGTTAAACCCAAGCGATCACATGATTGGAAAACAAGCATAGAGTGCGATGCCACACTGGTTGTGTTTGTTCCGGGCCATTTTTATGAATCCTCCATCACCGAAGCGTTCTCCCCAACTACAACGCATGAAGACATGTTCCTTCAGTCAAGTCCTGACAGGGCAAACATTTTGAAGATTATACTGAACCACTTATACAAACCTGTTTTTGACCACCCAGTAATCCTCTCCATTTTCAGTGCCGTAGCCTACGAGCAGCACCCCATGGTTCACATTGTGTGAGCACGTATGGTCCTGGTACACACCTGTTAGACCCCACAAGACATTCATGGAAAGGGGCTTCCTCACAACTTTACATTCATTTTTTCAGAGAGAAAAAAACAAAAACAAATAGGAACTCACCATGACGATAAAAGAGAAACTTTGGCCTAGAAGCATCAATTGCTACAGAGATGGGGCCAATGTTAGCCAAGCCAACTTTCAATGCAAATTCATCTCCCTTTGGCAGGAAGCCGTACTTGGAGCAGTTGGCTGCCCGGTACTGTGGTCGGTACTTGCATTGATCCCGCTGAAAATACGTTGTAGGGCAAGTTAAGTGGATGTTCTGACAGTTACAAGTATGGGGGGAATCATGCTATGCAAAGTAAAATGTTAGCCAACCTTTGCAATATAGGGGTAAGAGGTGTCGGATGCAATGCCCCGGTTTTGAATGACATACTGGAAGGCGTTGGCCATGAAGCCCCCCCGACAGCCGTAGTTGCCGTATTTTGCGGAGCAGTCCACCAAATTCTGGGGACTGAGAGACTTCAGGATGCCTGTGGACTTCTTTAGTTGCCCCTCCAGGGCTCCGACTGCACTAAATGCCCAACAAGAGCCGCAAGAACCCTAAAAAAAAAAAGATAAGAAAGACTGCTTGAGGCGGTGCGAAAAGAAACAATCATACCTCAGCAGTCTTTTTAATGAAAGATGACCTCACTTGAGTTTTGACTGAAGTCACCAAGCCTTTATCCCTCCAGTCCAGCGAAGATGGCAGAGACTGGTTAACCTTAACCAGTTCATAAGGAATCCTCTCCAGCTCAGATGGTACGACTGTGCCTGTGAGAGTTCTGGTGATCTCCTCTATTGTCTGCAAGCACAATGATCACATTTCTCAATATAGACCATTATTGCAGTAGTAGTTTGGTCACTTGGTTTTAATCTCTCCAAATACTCACCAGATCTCCCAAGTGGTTCATTGCCATCTCAAACGAGTGCAGGCCCAGCGACGTTTCCAGGTTATGGAGATTGATCATATCTAGGTTTTCCTCCCATATCCGTCTGCGACCCAACTCCTCAACCTGGAAAACAGAATGGAATTTAAGATTTCTCTATCATTCGTGAAAGAAAAATCAGGAAAAGCCCGTCACCCTTCAATTTTAAAGTTTCTTGAAACATTCCAACATTGAGAACTCACCAGGCTGGTTGACACAGATTCATGGCACTCAGAATGAATGCTTGGACAGGATTAAAGCACATTTTACCTGATGAGAGTACACCTTGTTATGCATCTTTTTCCAGAGCTCCCAGTGCTGATCCATATGCGGACTGGTGACAGAAATCGCAAGTCCACACAGGGCCATGAAAAACAGGCTCTCAAACATTTTGAGGACCAGAAAGGAAGAGGCTGCCATTCGGCCAGGGTCAGGAGAGGAAAACAAATGGTATAGTCATCAGATTTCTGAGTGTCAACCAGCATGCATTTATCAGCGTGCTTCGTGCACACCTGCAAACAATTGAACCTGTGCTGGAAGTCTTCCTGTCCACTGGGTGGCAGCACTAACAAGCTGTGGACAGTCCCCTCAGGAAGGTCTGCAGTCCAGGGGCTGGGGTGGGGAGTCCAATATTTGCCCTCTTTACTCTGTTTACTCCTTATTTGCAAAAAAAGTACATATATATATCTATAATATTAGTTTTTACATCTATCTATCTATCTATCTATCTATCTATCTATCTATCTATCTATCTATCTATCTATCTATCTATCTATCTATCTATCTATCTATCTAT